CGATGTCGGCTCTTCCTATCATTGCGAAGTAGAACTCGCCAATTGTTGGATTGTTCACCCACTAATAGGGAACGTGAGCTGGGTTTAGACCGTCGTGAGACAGGTTAGTTTTACCCTACTGATGAGTTCGTTGTCTAAACAGTAATCCAACCCAGTACGAGAGGAACCGTTGGTTCAGATAATTGGTAACTGCGGTTAGCTGAAAAGCTAGTGCCGCCAAGCTACCATCTGTAGGATTATGGCTGAACGCCTCTAAGTCAGAATCCATGCTGGAATAGACGATAATCACCTTTCCCGATGTGCCGCGAATAGCGATAGGTGTCTTCTGGACACCCAACATCATACAATTGCAACGCACTCCGCTGCCTGTCAAGTACTGGCGGTGGAGAGTAGGCTGATTTGTAATTTCAAATATTGGGAAAGATAAATCCTTTGTAGACGACTTAACTACAGAACGGGGTGTTGTAAGCATGAGAGTAGTCTTGTACTACGATCTGCTGAGATTTAGCCCTTGTTCTATTGATTTGTTCAGAAATGAACATTTCTCCCCCCAATTGCAAACGCGCAATGTTAAAACTATAAAGTTAAGCAGTCGAAATAAGGCTGCGTTAAAGTGATTTACTTTCGCTATGGGGCGGCGAAAGTAACCGGTCAAAGTGCTGGTAGAGAGTTAATACTGTTAAGCTTAAGATCGTCAAAGTCTTTGTTTTGGCTTAGTGAGGTTTGTTCGCAAAAATCGCTAAGTGCCGCTGCTATTGTTTTCCGAGCCAAATTCGGCGACCTTTAGTATCGGGTTTATAACAGGCAGAAAGCGAGAAACACTTTGCGTGAAAATCGCTAAGTGCCAGCGCTAATGAATTCTGAGCCAAAATCGGAGATTTTAGTATGGGGGTTTAACAGGGCAAGCTAGACGGCAGGGCGTAAAATTAGACTTGGTTTAAGTATGTTAAAAGAGAGCGAATAGCGTGAATTAGACTTGGTTTAACTATGTTAAAGAGAGCGGAATAGCATGAATTAGACTTGGTTTAACTATGTTAAAGAGAGCGGAATAGCATAAAATAGACTTGGTTTAAGTATGTTAAAAGAGAGCGAAATAGCGTAAATTAGACTTGGTTTAACTATGTTAAAGAGAGCGGAATAGCATGAAATAGACTTGGTTTAACTATGTTAAAGAGAGCGGAATAGCATGAAATAGACTTGGTTTAAGTATGTTAAAAGAGAGCGAAATAGCGTGAATTAGACTTGGTTTAAGTATGTTAAAGAGAGCGGAATAGCATGAAATAGACTTGGTTTAACTATGTTAAAAGATAGCGAAATAGCGTGAATTAGACTTGGTTTAAGTATGTTAAAGAGAGCGGAATAGCATGAAATAGACTTGGTTTAACTATGTTAAAAGAGAGCGAAATAGCATGAAATAGACTTGGTTTAAGTATGTTAAAAGAGAGCGAAATAGCGTGAATTAGACTTGGTTTAAGTATGTTAAAGAGAGCAGAATAGCGCGAATTAGACTTGGTTTAAGTATGTTAGAGAGAGCAGAGTAGCGTGAATTAGACTTGGTTTAAGTATGTTAAAGAGAGCAGAATAGCGCGAATTAGACTTGGTTTAAGTATGTTAGAGAGAGCAGAGTAGCGTGAATTAGACTTAGTTTAAGTATGTTAAAGAGAGCGGAATAGCGTGAATTAGACTAGGATAAAGTATGCAAAATGAAGCTGAGGACTTTGTGAAAAAATGCGAAGTTGTTTGCTGTTCTAATTGTATGGGTTTGGAGATGTTTTTGGCTTGGATTAATAACAGGCAGGAAGCGCGAGGAAACGCAGCGAATATGGACGCGTACGCGGAAGGTGACGGCGGAGGAAGCGCGGATATGGAGGTGAAAATGGTGAAGGTGATGGCGCGAGGAAGGTGACGGCGCATGGGTGTGAATATGGAGGTGATGAAAGGTGACGGGAGGAAACGCATGATGTATATGACAAGTTGGTGTCGTACTTAAGCGGAGCGCGCGCTGTGCATGTATGAAGGTGTCGAAGGTGTTCATATTGCCTAAGACGCGTACGTGCACATGTCATGTCGCATAGGAAGCGTAGGTATGGTTGTGCAAGTCGTAAATGGCCACTTTGGTGGTTTAACATTGTTTCCAGGCCGCGTATGCGCAAATATGGGGTGCGGCGGCTATCTGCACTGCTGTGTATGAAGGTGTCGGTCTGTGTGGGGTTCCTATCGGAGAGAATACGTATGCTGCGTTGTAGGAGTGAGCTGCTGGCCACACGTTTGTATTGGAGTGCGCCACACCACCCCCCTTTTTGTTTTGTTACTATATAAAGTGTAGCCATCCACCCAGCCAATTCTGAGGGCCAGAAGGGGTATTGGGGGCCATCGTGTGCAGTCTATGGCCACGTATGTGGACATGTGAGTGTGTAAATGTGTTGTACCAATGTATACGAGTGATAAACACTAATAGGCGTGTCGGTCAAAGTCAAATGTAGACGGCCATCTTAGGCTGAAAGCACCATATCCCGTCTGCTCTGTGAAGTTAAGCAGCCTCAAGCTCGGGTAGTACTCGGGTGGGTGACCACCGGGGAAGTCCGGGTGCTTACTTTTTAGCCCGTTTTGAGCTGTTTACCGACTTTGCGTGTGTTTGCAAACGCAAGATATGATGTCTGGCATGTGCCCACACGACATCTTGGTTTTAGTATGCCTGGCGAGCCACTACACACGAGATCTTGTTTTTTGTATGGTGTTCTTTAATTTGATTATTATGAAGATGAAAGAGAACCGTTAGAACGGGTATGAAGGGTGTTCTAGGGGTGCTTTTCGGTGCTCTTTCACGTGGACATATCGCAGCATGCGACATGTCAGCGGAACACTGTCTAAATTAATAAATACTGTTTTGGCCGATTTCTAAAAGCGTCTATAAAAGGGCATAAGTGCAATGACTCGTCTTTGTAACCCTGCGGCCTAGGCGTAGTTTTTCACGGGGAATCCGAATATCAAAGGTAGATTTATGTACAACATGTACTTTTTTTGCAACATGTACTTTTTATCTACGGGACATAGACATATGTAAAAACACACGGCGGAGCCGTTCCCGCAGTCAGAATTTGTCTAACTCTTCTAGATCAAAAGTTATTCAGCGAAATGTGAGACTTTGTTTGGCATGCTCTTTTTTTTAGGTGGTTTTTTCCCGGTTTTATGTGCCGCCCGGCAGATCTGGCCTGCAGACTTTAGCAGAAAACTTGGCGCATGTGTTCGCACGACCGCTCCCAAAGTTTTTACAAGCATATCTCCAGTAGTTGCTTCGCAATGATTTTTTTAGTGACGCCAAAAAACGCCATTTTCGCGGAAAATGGACACCTTGGACGGCCAAAATCACCACTTTTGGCCATGTTTGGCCCTGCACATCCAGGAAGCAAATGAGACTGCTCCGTATAAAAACTGCCCTAGGGGTGCTTTTATGCGCGCATTCCCGTGGTCAAGTCAGATTTTGGCTAAATTCAAATGCCTTGTCTATAAACACTTTTTTCGACCTAAATTTTCACCTGTTTTGTCCCGAAATGATAGCACCCATTCTTTATTTGCCTATATATCGCGAAGGAGGCAACTTTTTTCCTGTTAAGTATAGATAAAAAATTTAATTCGGCGTTTTAGCGCACGAGGAACAAAAGTCTCCATACAAGCTACCCTCGGTTTCTAATGACTTTTTGAGTTAGGGAAGCGTGGATCTTCTTTTTTTCTTGTTTCCAGGACTTCACATGAACTTCCAACTCAACTCGAATTGTCATCCCGGGCCCACCACGCATCGAAACGACACTTTTCTCGGAACTGGCGAATAAAAAATAGGTCACCAGATGCGCAAGAGTCTGGGATGACAGAATATCAAAACAATAACAGAATCGTTAGTACTTTTTTTGTCACCAGCGCCCTTTTTCTGTTTTCGCGTACATAATCGAGCATAACTTTATCAATTTATACCATATCGACCGATATCGATTGTCACGATAGTGTACTTTTTTTAGGCGCACATGATGGTAAAAAGAACGGCCACCTATTCCCAGCCGTTCTTAAGCTATGCTCTTTTAAAGATTTTACTTTAGAGATGACACACCCTCTCATTTCACTCCATTACATGCTCTTTTTGCTGAATTACGTGGCACAGACGCAGAAAATCATGGTTCGCAAGTCGAACATTTTTGAAGAGCGCATCGAAACGGACATTTTCTTAAAATAACATGGTATACAAAAAGTGCGTTCTTGAGCCTGTAGCAAACGATTTGCATCCATGACATCCCAAAAACTTAAAATAACATATCTCGACTCCTAGAATGAAATCGACGTGAATCCTTAGGGCAGTTAGTGTGTTTTAGTATCATACTTAACACCACAAAGTTTTACGGGGCACTCTACAATACTCTTCCCAAGACGCAAGAAAATGTTCATTT